AATTCCTTAGCTCTCAAATAGAGGGGAAAACAGGAATGGGGAGGAATACATTTTAAATAAAATTATTAATTTCATCTCAAGTTGTACAAAGATCTCATTTAGGAAAAAACATTAAAATTTTGACTCAAGGGATACTAAATATTGCATCATTGCAGGAAGAATATAATTTAAAGTAAAATTAAATTGAGCTAATATGTATCAACATTATCATATTCTATTATTTTTTACAAAATCCATAATTATGGGATAACAGATTTAGTAAGACACACTCTTTTCCAAAAATTGGGAACACTGGGCAACCACACAGCCCTCTGAATCTCATGATCTTCATATACCAAATGCCCTTTCACATCTCTTCCAACTTATAAACTGATACTAAATTGTTACTCTTAAGTAATCTTTTAGAGCAGGGGTCAGCAAACTGTCCACAAGCCACATCTGATCCACCACCTGTTTCAGGAATCAAGTTTTACTGGAATACAGACAGGTTCATTTTCATTCTTTTACTTACTGCTGATGGCTTGCTTTTACACTATTAACAACAGAAGAGTAATTCAGCAGAGCACACAAATACTATCTGACCCTTTACAGAAAAAGTTTGCTGATCTCTCCTTTAAAAAATGAGGTAGGTATTTCACTTCCATATATTTTCCTGATATTTAGTTCTCCTTTTAAGTAGAAAAGCTTTACTTTAAATATAAAGTAAATGCAGTCTGTATTTTCCATATAACTAACAATACAGTTTCCTAGTTTCATAGCTCTGCTCTCAGACTTGGCAAATGATGGAGTGGTTTGGCAGACATGAATTTGAGCTCTGGCTCTAAATCTTTGCAATCTTGGGCCAGTCTCAAAATGAGGATCATAACATCTATTCTGCCAATCACAATTTTAAAGGCTGAAAGAGCTATAATATATTAAACTATTTATAAACTACAAATCATCATACAAATGTACCTACCACTTTTTAAAAGATCACTGACTTAAAAATTCAAATATTCAATATTGTATTATAGTCTATATAATATACAGTGAAAGTCCTAAAAAGACTTAATCCAAAATAGATACTATGGATCTAATATAAACAAAAAACGAGTTGGCATCTTTACATCATTTTATACAGTGATCCAAATGTTTTTTGTCTGATGGTTTATTTAGTCAAGGGGATTTTAGCTTGCATTTAGTTAGATACACATTAATAAATGTGATTTTTGAGAGATTGAAAGGCTAAGTTTAACTGGATGGGAGAGGCATATCTTAGTACAGCATATATATGAGAAAAGTGGGTATAGGACAAAGGGACAGAATAATGAGTATATCAGAAAAGTATAGAGAAGCTCTTTATCAAAGAAACAAAAATCAGTAAGAAATTAACTCATTTTTTATGACCCAGAAGTCATTCTGGTCAAAATAACATCTCAGAGGGTAAAACTATACAACCAGTAATATAGAATATACCTTTTATTCTGGCTTTGCAGATAATGTCTAAGTACTCTGATGGTACAAAATTAGATCCATGTTAGAAAAACTTACCAAAAGAGACATTGAATCGCTTTAGTTCACAGAAAGTGACAAAAATCCATTTATTCCAAAAGAGAGTTTTGCTTTATCTTCAAGATGCAGAAATATCCTATTAAAAACAAAAAGCAAAATAGTTTAGATTTACATAAAAGATCCTGGAAGAATTTATTGATATAAAACCATGCAATATTTAGGCAGCTGTTCTTTGACATAAGGTGTCCCTAAAAAGTGTTGTTAAAGAGCATTTCTGTTTACTGAACACTATTTGGTATCTGACATCATAACAGAAAGGGAGAGTGTAGTTAAAGGGAGGAACTGAATATTTCCAAAGCCTCGAAATACCTGTCTCTCCTTCCCTAACTTTTCTGTACTGCTTTTATTTAGAGAACTGTAAGCAAATGGGAAAAGTAATATATAAAAGCAATATTGGACCCACTTTTGATATAAATGGTGCCACTTGCAAATATACCCCAAGAATTTCCAACGATCTATTTATCATTAATTTTGAAGTTTCCAAGGCTTCCTAATTGGAAAAATTAAAGACTTATTAAATTATTTGAGGTCCTTGATCAGCAAATTTAGAGAAGCATCAGGATTAGTAATAAACTAGGAATTAATATTTTCTTGTTGCCATGTTTTAAAAGATAATTTTTTTCCAGTTTTCATGTGAAAATATTTTCTGGAGGTTAAATATTTTTTACCTTATGATTCTGAGTTCTCATTTCTATTATTGGTTACTGACAGATATGAAAAATCTGCAGATTATTATACAAATCATTCCTATCCACTCTCACCAACAGTTTTAATCTCAATAGTTTATGAAGACTCTGCAACATATTCAGAAGTTTTAAATAGTAACTTTAAATTCAAAGGGCTACAAAAACACCTCCAAAAATTTCCAAATCCTTCCCATAGCACGGTGACAATATTCTAACCTTGCTAAAACCTGACTATTTACTTACACTTAACCAATATTTTTGCCTCTTTCATCTAAATTGTACTTCATTATTTCATTTTAATGAAATCACCAGGTTTGATCAAGGTGCCTACAAATACCAACAAAATAAGAAAAGATTTTGTAAACCATAGCTACTTTATAGAGCAACAGCCTATCTCATTCTTAAGAAAAGATGTGGATTTAATCAGGGTCTTCACTACAAACCAAAGGTAGAGAAGCAGAAAAAGAAGATCCTATAAAGATGTAATTATTTTGTCATTCACTATCATCAATTTTAGATACTAGAGTTTGCTGCGTCACAAAAGGGGGAATAAAATGTCTGCCCTGCCCACCTTCCAGGGTAACTGAGATCAAATGAGATACTTTATCTGAAAGTGCTTATAACTACCAAATACTGTGTGTTATGAGCTTGAATATATATGTGTATGTGTGTGTGTATATATGTATGTACATGTGTGTATGTGTGTGTATATGAGTCTGAGAAGATGCTCTGAAAGGTACACTCAAATATTACTGGTAGCGCAAAGTGGTAAGGGTCACTGGGAAAGCGAGCTGGCAATGTTTTCACACACCATGCAAAATGGTCATAACTTTTGAATCAGTAAAATTCTTATTTCCAGTCATTTATTCTAAGGAAATAGGTAAAGGAAGAAACCACATAACACAGAAAATTATTACACTGTTATCTGAAAGAGCCATGCAGTCAACCCACAAGTGTTTAATGAATGGCTACCCTGGGTCAGGAGCTATGGGCCCTGGAAAAGGCCCCGACACCTGTAGTTTAAAGCAGAAAGTATAGGGTTGTCATGATTAATGGAATTTTCTGATTATCAGAATTTTGTTTCCTGCTTTTCCACTTAATATCAGTGAAGTTCTTACAGAAAAAAAACCCTTAACCCCCATTTACATTATCTATTTTTCAGAAAAACTCAGAAGAAATGGATACAATTTGTGAGAACTGTTACTACTAAAAAGAGCTGTCCCTGCTGGTGGTTTAATCCCAAAGGTTTTTGTTTTAGATATGCTAGACTATTAAAAGACAAATTTACAAGACATTTTGAGGTCAAGGCAGCAGCTGCATCTGGTGAGAGGCAGTGAAGAGAGAGATTTACTGTCTTAATTTTCTCCTGCATGCTCTTTCACTAGGTATGAATATAAATCCCTTTTAAAAATATGATATTTAAAAAACCTTTATTTCTAAATGTATTCACGAATACTTCAGTGTGGTCTCCTGCTTGTATCTAAAAAAACTAATTAGAATAAAGCTTTATAAATAACTTAAATCTTACTTTTGTACAATTTAATCTGAAATGTCAACATTTTCTGTGAAAATCAGAGAGGGCATCTACAGAACTCGGGTTCTGAGTTAATTTAACCATCCAACAGAGGCCATTGTTACAGGGAATGCAAAAATCCTATTTCTTTGTTGCTCTTTATAATTACTGTAATTTTCAAACTGATCTCGGGAACCCGTAAAATCTTAAAAATTACAGCGACGCACAGCTCAGGAGAATTTTCCAAACTTAGTATCATGACTCATGCTTTAAAAAAAAAAATATTTACTAAGCGCCTACTGTATGCCAGGCTTGCTGCCGAGTTAGGCGCTGGGTCACAATTCCTGATCAAGTTTTGAGGGAAAAGGTATTTGACACAACAAACCCACGAGGGCAAAACAGAACGGTGAACTTAAAGCCGAGGTCAAAAAGCAGACTGAGCACTGAATTTTGCAAAAGGTGCCCTCCTGGTCCTGGCAGTGAACTCGCAGACGGTGGCAGGTATGCTGACCGCATCGGAGAGTGTCTCGGGCTGGGAAACTCAGCGGGGCGCGAGCACCTACCCGCAGCAGGGAGCAGCCCGCGCCCCGCGCCCCCGCAGCCGCAGCCCCCGAGGCGCCAGGTACCCCCGAGGCGCCAGGTGCCCCCGGGCGGGCGAGGGGCCGCGGCTCCGGGGGGCTGCGCGGGGCGCAGGGACAGTCCCCACGCCCGGCCAGACCCGGGCTGAGGCTGGAGACCCCGCAGCGCGTTCCGCCCCCGGCTCCCCGAGGCGTGCGCGGCCCCGCAGCGTTCCGTCGCGTCCCCGACCGCCCTGCGAACCTGTCCCTGCCGGGCCGGGCCTCGCCTCGTTACCTGGTGTGTCCACGCGCAGGGGCCGGGGACCGCGAGGGCGGTGCAGCGGGGCGGCGCGGGAGCCCGGCCCGCCGAGGGGCAGGCGGGCGAGCAAGGCCCGCTCCCGGCGCTGGCCACCAAGCGCGGCGGAGCGGCACGACCCGGGCTGGGGCTGTCGGCCTGGAACTCTGCCCCAGCCCCAGGCAGCCAGCCTGGACGGGACTCGCCCCTCCCGGGCCCCCGGGGTAGCGGCCGCGCCTCCCGCCCCGGGGCCAAATAGCAAGGGGCGGGGCCTTCGGGCGAGGGGCGGGGCCTAGGCGAAACTACAACTTCGGAGGGCGAGGGGGCGGGGCCAACAGGAAACTACAATTCCCAGCAGGCCCTTTGCTGACGCCGCGGAGGCTGCTGGGAGAGTGGGTCTCCCTCGCTCTTCCCCGATTGTGTAGGGGCTGCCATTGACCCGGCGTCGCAGCAAAACTGAAGTCGCCGAGTGATGATGTTGTGAAGTCTCCTGGCCGTCTCTGCCACGCCCGAGCGGTTACTGGCCGCGGCGGCCGCTTCGGCTGCTGCTCCCAAGCTGCCGCTGCGTTAGAGGCTGCTTGTTGGCGAGCGCGGGCGGAGGACGAAGGACGCTTGACTATTCCGGTGAGTAACCTTCCTGCGCACGACCCGAACTTGCCCTTGCCAACTTCCCCGGCGGGCAGAGGCGCTCCTTGCCCGATGTTTCTCCGGGTGCTTGGAGGTCACTCGCGGACAGCCAAGCTGGAGGCTAGATATGGGAGGGCTGGGTCCTCCTTGGGTCCCCACCCAGCGGTGGGAAGTGGGTTGTTTCGGAAGAATGGGTGCGAAGAGAGGAGCGAAATTCACCTAGCTGCACGTCTGAGGAGTGGCAGCATCTCAACCTCTGCGGTCCAGCATCCACCGGGAGCCCCATCCTTCAGCGGTGAGCCGCTTTAAAACCTTAAGCCTCGGTGACCATCTGTGATGTGAGCGAGAGGAAACGATACTCGAAAGAGCTTTCTAGATTGAGTCGAATTGGGGTTTCCTTGTCATTGATCTTGAGCCAGGAACCACACATCTTTTAAAATAAACGATTGACTTTAGTTCCAAGCATAAATAATGCAAATTGGCAGATATCCTTTTTAGTGTCACCATAAAGGAACCTCCCAAACACTTAAAAGATTTCTGGGTCATAATAAGAGTGGTGAATTCACCTGCTTGCCTACGCACCTTTTATTTAAAACTGCAGTTTCTGCTCTGAAACCCAAAACAAACCAGTAACTTACAAATGGAAATTCATCAAGCTAGAGTGGCCCATAGGAATAAAACGAATGATATAGTCTTACTGTTCCTTATCTATTTCGTACATTTTTCCCGACCTTCAGATCGTTGCTGTAGCATTGGAAGTCTGAGCTACAGTGATCTCCAAATAGCATGTTAGTGGTGGAGGTGATGGTGACACTTAAAAACAAACCGTGAAGGACATTTAGTGGCGAGGAAGGGCAGAGATGGAGACAGTTTATCATCTCAATAGTTATTCCAACTTTCTATTTTTAAGATTAGGTATCTTTCAACAAGTGTCAGACAGTCAGCAAGCACATATGAAAGACAGTGTTCTATTAATTTACAGAATTCTGTTCCATCTGCTGAATGGCAGAAAAAATGTAAAATTGCATTAACTTTAAGTCAGGGACCAGGCACCTCAGTTATGAACTCTGCATACATTTGATCCTTTAATCACTGTAATAATCCTGTTCCACTAATCTGAGGCTCAGAGATTTTGCTTATGTAACAAGTGGAGATTCAAACCTAGATCTGCCTTACTTCGAAGTTACAGATTGGGTAACTTGTACCTACTTCAGAAATTACTGACTTTAAATTTGGATGATTAAAAAGTATTTTCCAGTTTCCTAATACTGGTTCCTAACCAGTATTTGTACTTGGACACTTAGAATAAATCCTGACCCTCTGCTTTTTTGTACTTGTGAACAAGTTGTTCTCTCTGCCTGCAATTCCTGTCCCCCACAGAGCAGCACATTAAGACCCTAAAAGCTCATTCCAAATCCAACTCAGCTTATTTATATAAGGCACATGCTGGGATTGGATTTTCATCTCAAACCTGCTTTCCAATTCAAAGATTTAGTGATTCTGTGATTGAAAATATGAGCCAAAGAATGTTATTCTCCATTGAAAGGGGTTAACATCTATAGCCAAAGAGTAGAAAAACCTGTGTCTTAAAAATTTTACTTCAATACCTAAGATATGTTAAGTGCCAATATAAGGAATGACATAGCCAATAGTATATTATTTCATATTTACTTTTTGAGTTCTGTTTATATCATCTCTACCAGGTTTTGACCTGTTTAGTTGTCATCCTGTTTAGTTGGTAAAAAATATGAGGCATTAAAGTAATACATTTAAAATGACTTAGTAATTGAAGGAACTAAATTATTCATGATTTCCAGTCATATTCTTTCAGACCACAGTGTTCTTATAATTATTGAAAACATTTTTTCAATACTTACTGCATGTTAGATAGCCATCTAAATGATTGCTTACATTAACTTATCCTCACAGTACCACTGCGAGGTGTTTTTATGTAAGCAACTGAAGCAAAGACAGGATAATTATATTCATATAAATTGTGGTGGAGAATGGGTTAAAGAGGATAAGACTGGACATAAAGATACCAGTTAGGGCCTCCCTGGTGGCACAGGGGTTAAGACCCAACCTGAGAAGCTGTCCGCAGCCACTACAGCACGAGTTCGATCCCTGGCCAGGGAGCTGCCCACGTGGTGCAGCAGCCCTCTCCTGACTCGCCTGCTGCTCCCCTCAGCAGTGTATTTCAGTCAGTCTGCCTGTTCTGTTCCCCACTCTGTCTCTGGTGAATCTTCTCACCTGCCCCACAACTCTGGCCTGTACCCCAGTTCTTGTATGCATAAATAAATAAATCTTAACCAAAAAAAAAAAGATACTAGTTAGGTGTATTTTGCCACAGGAAGCTGAGCTAAGATTTTCTTAGAATTTTATATAGGAAATCATTGGTTCATTTTCACTTGTTTATAATGTGCAAAAACTCTGAAATAAAGGTCTACTAAACACACACACACACACACACACACACACAGAATTTTGAAATACCAAACTAAAACAGAACCGTTGCTACCATGAGGAAGACTAGCTGGCACAGCTAACTTTAGTGCATGTATAAGAAAATTTAGGAAGAATTTGTATTCATTTGTTTTGAACATATTGACTGGCTTTACTATTGACCTTTTGCTTTCCATGAATAAATAAAGCTTTACTCAAATATCAGAGAATATTCAGTATTTTTCCACTGCCCTTTACCTACCACATACCCCCATTATCATTATCTAAATATCTTTCCATCCTTGAGAAGCCCACTTAGATCTTACAGTCAGTGTGAAGCCAGACCTCGTTAGCAAGAAAGAGAGCTCTCACCTCCTCCTTCACTGGCTATCTATAGAACAGTTCTGTTCTAATACTCTTTACATGTATGTGTGTATATGTTATCTGGTGGTGGTATCTTATTTTCTTAACTTTTTTAGATCATTAGATTTCTAAACTCTTGAACCTCCCTTAGGGCAGAGACTGTTTTATACTAATTTTTATCTCTTTCCTGTACTTTTTATTTAATTCAGGTGGCATATATTGAAAGCTACTCAGTTAGCAGCTGATTGACCTGTTATTAAATGAGATCTTTTAATTGAAACTTCTATTCTAACTGGCTTCTTAATATGTAATGTTCTAACTTTATTCCTAGTTTTACTACTGACTCATGTTACCTTGGGGATATCCTGTTTAACCACCCGGTATTATGGTTTAATCATGCTAGAAAATGAACATACAAAATCCTGTGGTATAGAAGTGAAATTAATTCATGTTGTAAAAGATCATTGAGGTTTTTGAAGCAATATCCATGTATCTGCCAATTTTGGACAAACTTTACTTTTTTAACAAGTCATGAAAAAGGAAGGAATAATTCAGATAAAATAAAGTCTATAGTTCAGATAAAATAAAGACTAATTTAAGAGTGTTGCACTATGTTATATAATAATGGAGTAGATAAATTATGCATGCTAATATGTGAAAGAATTCACCAACCTGTTCAGGTAATGGTTCACTTATCCACTTATATTTATTGCATTGTTTGAGCCATTGCCATTATATTCCCACTCTGATCAAGAAGGAGGAGGAACTTTCCCCCTTCCTTCCTGAAAGAAGACTTCCAGGAATTAAATTTGTAATATGTGTTGTGAAAGAAACAATTATATGCTGAGTTAGAGAATAAAGGTGGCAGAGGAGGCTATTCAAAATCAGGTAGACTGGTAGTCTCTCCTTGAGAATGACTTTTTAAACTGAGACCTGAAGAATGAGGAGTAGTTACCATGTAAAGAACAAGAGGGGAGAATATCCCAGGTACAATAAACTATTAGAAAGGCCCAGAGATAGGAGAGAAGTGAACAGCAATGACAAAAGAGCAGTGGCTGCCTTTGAGCAAGGAAGAGAGAGTGTTACAAGATCAGAAAAGAGAAGTAGGCACAGACCAGATAAGGCTGGACCTTGTAGACTATGATTTGAAGTATGGATATTATTTTAAATCTTATGAGAAACATTGAGTGTTTTGTTTTAAGGAATTGAGTTTTAAAAACATTTTTCTTGCTGCCTTATAGAGCTAGAGACAAGCTAGAGATTAAGCATGGAGTCCTGTTGAAAGTTTGTTCATAGTTTAAGAGATGATGAAGCCTTGACAGAGGATCATAGAAGAGGGGATGAAGAGAAGTAGGTAACTTTGAGAATACATTGGTAGTTGACCATACAGGATTTGGTGTTGGATTGAATGTGACAGGGTATGAAACAGAAGGTATCTACTGTTCAGTAGATAAATTCAGTGAATCAGCCTGTGAGAAATTTGAGTGGAACTCTGGAAGAAGTCTAGTCCAAAGAGCCAGATTGGAGGTAATTACAAAATACAAAAATGAAAAATAGCAATGATAAAGAATGTGTTTACAACTAGAACTCCAGTAAACACCAACATTTATGGATAAAAGGGGAGGGAACTTGGTGACCCAATGAAGGGGTTTGAGAAAGAGCACTGTAGAATGTAGGTTCCAGGAAGACCACAGGAGGAAAGTTGACATAAGGAGTAGTCAACAATACTGAACAGAAATGACATAACAGCTAAGAAGGAATGATTGGCTTGATTAGAGGGACTATTCATGACCAAAGGGAAATTGGTTTCAGGAGTGATTTGATTCCAGTGGGGTGGAAGTATAAATGAGAGATGGGAATATGAGGATAAGAGTAAATATTCTTTGGAGAAGCTTGGGTGAGGGTAGAAGGTGGCAGTAGTTAAAAGGAACCCAAAGCCTTGGGAGGAAAGGAGAATTTTTTTATGTTTTTAATAAAGTAGAAAGTTTTGAGCATGTTAAATAAGTCAAGGAAGAGAATGAAGTTAAGAAAATAGGGATAATCAAAGGAGCAAGATTTAGAGAAGGCAGAAGTAAAAACTTAAGTAACATTTCATTATTTTTTAAGTAGGTGGAAATAGACACATAGTAGAAAAATTGAAAATAACTCTCTCCCTTTTTTGTCTCCTAGCCTACTTTCTCTTCTAAAAGAAT